CGGGTCGAGTGAAATATGTGAATCAGGGAGAGAGTAAACGGATCTTACGAAGCAAGAAATAGCCTGTGATAAGAGCTAGGGAATCAGGACTACGTATCAATATGGCAGACTATGATCAACATTCCCAGCACAAGGGTCAAGGGGTGAAAACGACAGCGTGGAGTGTGAATGGTTTTTCTGAAATCCGCTCAAAGAAGCACACCACACTACATCGAAATAGGCACGGTTTAACTTGAAAAAGGGAAAGGGTGATAGGAGGATATAGGAAATGTGAATAGCCCAGAGCAGAGGGAGAGATACCATAACAATTTAGCACACGTTTGGTCAAAGTAACGGCTTTACTTGACTCTTTGACGAGTTGTTGAATGATGTTAAGAATTGCAAGACTCACTGATGATGCCGACTACGATGCCGGCGAAACGTCTGGGACTGTACCACGTCTACGGTTATACTCTGGAAATGATGATGCATACAATGAACTCCAGACAATCGGCGTTCCTCTAAGTCTTCCTAACAATATGACCGAGTTGCAAAAATAAGGTCAATAAACTTCTATACAACGAAAGGAGACTGCGCTTGCACAAATCCCACACCATCTTGGTCTTCATACCTTTCATTTCTATAATGAGGTCAAACCAACGCTATACAGCTAAAGAAGATTTTAACTATTAAGGTACAATAGCTTGGCCCTCCGACCTATGATTTAAAGAATTATAATTGATGTTAATGTATAAGAATGGCCTTGCAGATAGAGTATAATTGTCTGCCTCCATCAAATATTGTGTGGCTATATTTATCAAATATTTTGCCCTTCGACTATCAGTTATATAAAATCATATATTATAAAACGCGTTTATCAAACCTTTGCTTTCTAATTCTGATATTGCTATCAAATAAAGAATATAGGAATCCTGAATAATTCTACTAGTAATCGAATTTTATAAAAAGACATTTGTTACATACAGCCATCTTGATGTGACTACGCAATCTTAACATGATTAAGTCCATTTGCAACTGAGCAATTATAGAGTTCTTTTGAATTTGAGTTTTTTATCCATTTTTGCTGTGATAAATTATTCATTGCCTTTAAATCTTATTCTGGTGTCGAATATCTTCGCTGCTTACAGATAGTATATAGTAAAGGTCTTTCAAATACCAGGATTAATTACAAATAGTGATCAGGATTTTATGTTCAAAGATGGTCATAAAGAAGAATAAAATCCTTTTGAGAAAGTTTGATATAAGCAAGTAGGCGAAATAAAAAAATTTAAATTTATACTGCAGAAAAACTTTATTTCTTGGAATCTTTTAATAGATTGTTGTTGGAGTACCATTCATTTTTTTAAGAAATGAATTGAAGATGTCTATAGGTTGGCCTCATTGAAAGCTGTAGGGGGATTTTTTTGGAGCTGTGATTGTAGATTTGCGCGAATAGATTCTCGGTGTACAGCTTACGACCCTGTTTAATCCTTATTGAGTTTTCATCCGTCCTGTGACGGACATCTTCAGGGAAGGACAAAATTCTTAAAGATTATTCCCCAAAATAGAAAGAAGAAAAGGTAGCCAACAGGATCGAAAAGTATGCCTGATTCATCAATGTTTCAGGTCGGTCCACCTAGGGCACATTAGCACAAATCTACAGTCAAGGCTGCAACCAGACCCCCTTCGGCTAACAGTGATGCCAACTTACGAATCTATTTTACTCGCCTTTTTAAACGGAATGAAAATTACTTAAAAAATAATTTTATATTGCCAATTTTAATTACACGTGATATTCATTTTAAGTTAACTTTCGATAGATTCTATCTGACTGTAAGATTAATGCACAAATAAATATATTGTCCCATCTATATAAAAATAATTATGACATTAATACATTATTTATGAAATAACAATAATACTTTTGGTTATAACCACCTTTAGTATTTGGTGCTTAAGCGCGTGATATGCTCTAACCTTATCTCTGGTTCCCTCTTTCGTAAGCATTGATCTACTGGAATGCGTAACTCAGAAGCTTACAATGATATGCTACATGAGACAGTTAATGATATTATTGATTCGTGCATTTTGGATGGTATTATGACCATGCATCGTGCGGCGAAATTGGGGTACTTCCACATTATTAGTCCCGATACGAGAAATCGCGACAAGGATCCCTCTGACCTTTCCCATCAGGTCTCGTATCATAGCTATGATAAGGACAACTTCAGCAAATCTCATGTATGCTGCAGGTGTGTGAAATGTAATTGCAAAGTTGCTGCAACACGATATGCATCACATTTATCTAATTGCATGGGACTTGGGAGAAATAGCTCAAGAAGGGCGAACAAGTGAGTCATTTATCAACGAAAAGAGTTTATTTATTTTGATTTTTGGTTACCTTTTTCTTAAGGCGTATTGCAGAGCAACAACGACTCGAAGATTATGACGAAGAAATTGAAGAGGAGAAGGCCATTGCTGCTTCGTTGTCCGTTAATCGAGGGCTTACTGCACAAATTTATAACTCCTTAAACGGCGACAGTGACAGCTGTCGAAATTCTAGTAATGGCTGTGCAAACGTCAACACTCGTCATTATGCTGGCCAAAGCTACATTGTCTCATCACCTAGCGCAAGCTCACTGAGGCAGACCACGTCTCGGATGCGACGATCTCACTCCCCTAT